GTTTTTACATCAAAGTACCTGCACTTCTCTGCAAAGACAGATTTCATCAGAAATACAGCGCCAAAATAGATCACTTTACATATCTGTAATGTTGTAAACAGTGTTCTAATTATTTTTATAATATCATATTCATATTATTTTTAATATGGTAGCTGTCTAAGGATAGTTTGATTCAGTTTAGGTTAATTAAACTGATTATTAAAGTCTGATTAACACTAAGAAAGTCTTTCTATAGCAGACTTACTGTCAGGCTGGTCTGTTAATGCCACATTTCATTTCATGTTTAAATGAAATCAAAATGAAGTCCAACAAAGCCACTATATTCAAAACCACTTAACGGAGCGCCAATGGAACAGTTGGAGTGCATCTTTGGTCAGTTTTTAACCCAGAAGTTCAAAATGCCTATATTGTCTGTTGTCGTTACAGTGACAATAGGAAGGTTTCCACACAAAATATAAAAGTACACCGTAAAGTTGTCTTACATGTGCATAAGGACCTATTTGAACATTTTCAGTTCAATTAGGATATTTACAGAAGAAATGCAATAACCCCATTACTTTTCTGATTAAAACTTTTGATTCTGAATCATAATCTTACTGCATCTTACAGCATTTTAGGTTATGCAAACAAACTGAAATTAATATATTTTTAACCAACAGGCAATCTGTAGACCTTTCTGCATTTTCTGTATTGAACATGTGAAATAAAGTTCATACCAAGAATACATATAAGTGGCAGAGAATGAGCCGAAATCTGCTGAACATCTGAATTCTGTGGGCACAGATTCTTTGTGGACCTGCAGAAACCCAAACCTGTTACGATCAAAGTGCATCTAAAGAAAAAGGGAGGAAAACGACATTTCACATTCTAGTGGAGAGGTTCAGGCAGAAGAACATCATTGCATTATAAAACCTGCCCGCGGGGGAAGACCAGCGCCGGGCCCTTGAGGGAGTGCTTGTGGGTAGAGACATGAATATGATGGCACCGTGTTTGGCAGAGGAGCACCGATGCTCTGAGGGTTGTAAGGCATTGCTGATGCTTGAGATGTTGGCGCTGGTCTTACGTGAGCTGGAGAACCATTAGCTAGCCTTTGGAAAGGTGCGGTGGAGTTATGGGTCTCCTGAGGTTGTGGAGGATCGGTAGAGGAACCCTGAGGAAGTTGAACACCCTTCAGCACCATCTCCTGGAGCTTATCGATCTTCACACGCCTCAGATGTGCCAGCTTCCTCTTGCTCTGGTAGTCATCAATAAAGCTGTCCAGGGGCAAGGATCCGTCCAAGAATGAATCGGCCATGTTCTACAGAACACAGGGGAGAATCTTAATTAACATTGTGTAAAAATCAGTGTTATGGATTTCTGAAAATATGGAAAATGTTGTTACCTCTGTTTCTTCTTCGATCTTGGCTCCCTCGGTTTGCAAAAGAGCCAACAATGTGTCAAGTGAACTGCTACCTGAAAAAAGATCCAATTTAAAAC